CCTTTAAGACCGAATGCACGGATCCAATATAATGATGCACTTGCGATTTCTTTCTCCACTGTTTACGTTAATTTAAGACATGAAAATACTTGCCCAGATAGTTATTTTGAGATAATTTTGCGTGTGTCGGTTCAAGCGAAAGAGGAATCAATTCTGTGTTCGTGCTCTGCCAAGCGAGTGAACAACGCGAATCAAGGAAGGGATTTTATAACACTATTCAAGATAGCCCGTCGGGCAGGGCAGTGATCAATTTTGGTAGCCCGACTGGAAAACAATAATGATTGCTAACGGTTGACTGTTACGTTACAGTACATAAAATTTCACTTACCACATAAACAGAGTAAGGGGAGATGACTGAGGACGATGGCGAATGATTTGCAGATCCTGAGCACCACTGACAAACATATAATCTTGTAAAATGTGTGGTAAGTACTGCCACTCCATAGTATAAACAGTATGTGTGATTGCGAATCTCGAAAATGAAAGTGAAACTAAAAAGTGATCGCGCATTCAAAAGCATGCTATAGGCTCCCTGATGCCCGCAATTTATATACAGTATAATTACCCGATGATATAACTGCGAGAGAAAATACTGAAATATATATTTTCCTCCCATCTCGTATTTATTCCCCTTAGGGGTTCCGTATTACACGTCATTTTCTTTTGGAACACGGTATTGGGACGCGGCGGATATCTCTGGGGGTGGGGTGGAGGGAATGGGTGATGGGAATCGCGATGCTGGCTCAACATCGTGATGTCTTATCAGCCATCGGCTGTGGTCTATGTGGTCTATTATTGTGGTTCCTGAACAGCACATAAACGCAAAATAAACTGTATTTGGTTGTTTTGTGTTGGCCAGACAGCTTGTTTGTGTAGGAAGTAGGTTTTACAGTCTGCCTGATAAGAGTTGGATACTGTAGTCCAGTAGGAACGCCTACTAGCAAACAACAGCACAGAGACTTGACGACCTCCAGCCATTTAATATCTGTATGTAAGAACCCCTTAAATCTGCACATGGCCATTGATATGCGTGTTCAAGAATGCGCTCTCATTGGCTCTATGGAGTGGAGACATAAATGGACTGCACCACTTGCATGAGTAGATTTAATTAGCAAACGGGGCATTTCTGTTTGCTAATGAGCTTTCTGAATTTTATTGGCATGGTTTAATAAACCATTTACATATAATGGCTCAGCCAACCGTGCTTGTGTCATTAGCCCATTTCCAATCAGAGCATTCATAAAACACACAGCAAACCCTGAAATGGCATGATCATTTATTTAGCATGATGCTACTTTGTTCCTTGTGATGCTATTGCACACTTGGGCATGTCTGTTGGCATCTGTTAATGCTGAAGTGTTTTGTGTGCTTTCTTGAGTCTTTACAACTTTACAGATCTTCTTTATGCACCAAGAGCTTGTAACACTTCAAAGAGAAAGGAAAAATTGAAATCGCATCATATGACCTCTTTAATATATATTTTCCTGTTCCTGTTTGTTTGAGCAACATAACACAGTAGAATTGGTTGAACCAACTGCATAAATTTGAGAAATCTGTTTGGCCGAACAATGTCCAATGTGTTAATATATTAATAAGTGTGCATTACATTTGTCTGTGTAT